TTTGACAAACTACTGTGTATTTAAATGATGGAAATAATTTAAACGGCTATGTAAAGATGTTAAAGTAGGCAATAATTTCTAAGTACTGTATTATCTCGGTAATTTTTAAATTGTTGTGACAACTCTGACCTACTTTAATATGTGCAGAGAAAGGGGCTTAGCTGGTCATCACGTGTCGAGCCACTTCCGATTGTGATTTGACCAATGAAAATCTCCGGCTGATTAATACGACAAAATCTTTGTTTACAGTAGGTGCCAAGTTATAATAAATAGACTATAGAGCACAGGTTCTCAAATTTATTTCGACCACCACCTACTTTGAGTTTAAAAAATTCTAGTGCCCCCATATTTTCATATTTTTTAACGTACCTTTTTACATTACCATCTGTTGCATATCTTAAAAACAGTTATTGCAAATAGAATGTTTAAACGTGCATTATTATATGGATAGGATAGATAGGATAGATATATTTCTATGCATTATTATATATATTTATATGCATTATTATATGGCTAGGATAGATAGGATAGATAGGATAGATATATTTCTTCTCATTGAAACATTTTTTGATCTCAGAAATAGGATATGGGTCACCTATATCCTATTTCTGAGATCAAAGAATGTTTCAATGAGAAGAAATAAAACTCATATTTAATCACCGAGCCTTCTACTGCCTTCTGAAAGCTTCCATCGCCCACAAGGGGACATTATCGCCCTCTTTGAGAAAGGATGAACTAGAGGATGGGGACTTAACTGTCTACCTATAGCAAAATTATTTGTATCTGATTATTAGTTAGCCTTAATAAATCGTGATAAAATATCTAGCAGATTGTTTAGTAGGTTATTACAAACATATCAGCTTGTTATTACAGACAACATACAGTAGAGCATCGATTATCCGACTCAATTGGGGACTCAGGTTGGTCGGATAACTGAAAAATCGGATAACTGAAAAAAATACATTATTAGTATAGTATATTAGTATATCCCATGTAATTAGTATATTAGTTAGTATATCGCTATTAACCAACTTCGCATTGAATTTTCATCGATGTTAAGCCTAACAAATTTAAAAAAATAATAATAATCGTTGCTATCATATCGTTAAAAATTATTTTAAAATTATTTTATTGCTCACAAAACAAACAACCACTCATAATTAGAAAATTAAGTCTCGTTTAAATACTGGCCGCCCTTTAATGGTCAAGCCGTGTTGCCAGCTAAAACACGCAAAAATTTAACAAAAATAATATTAAAGTAGCCAAGACATAGCCAAATATTGTAGTGCCACATCACTAGCGGACATTTGAAATTTGCCGACTAGAATGGTCGGTTAACCGATGTGACGGTTAATCGGGGGTCGGATAATCGATGCTCTACTGCAGGAGTGTCCAACCCGCGGCCCAAGGCAAGTTCCAATGCGGCCCAATAAACATGTAAACAAAACTGACAAATTTTTAAATTATTTATTTATTTCTACGGCATAAACCTCAAAAAAGAAGTTTCACAAAGCCGTAAACCTTTATACATGTTTTATTTTTTAATAGAAAGGAAGTATTTTCAAATATTTGTAGTGTGTGAATGAGGAAGGAATACTAAATAAACCTGGAGTAGTGACTCAAAGGACTATAGCCCAAAATTCGGGGAAAGGAGAGAAAGGCCAAAAAAAAAAAAAGAAGTGAGAAAGGTTGGAAAATTACGGATCAATATTTGTGTGAGGGTCGTGAAAAGCGAGTCGGAAATATGAATAATTACGAGACTTTTAAGTCGGAGTTTCGAAGATCGAATCGGGTTGAGGGGATGTGTTAGTGACAGAACCCAGATGAGACGAAAACTTTCTCGAATTGTAAAACAAACGCGACGCGACGATAAATAACAGGGGGGGAATGTCGACAGAGAGAGTGAGCTTTGTCGAGATGCGCGCGAACAAATATCGGGTCGAAGCAAGCGGGAGAAAGGGGAGTCTAAGAACAAAAGGGACATCTGTTAAGTAAGAACGTGGTAGGGGATAAATGGCCACAAGAGCATCTGGTGGACCGTTTAGGTTCAAAGATGACAGAGAAAAGGGCCATAACAGAGTAAAATACGAGAGCGAATGTTAAAAGGCCGTCATCATCTCTCCGACCTTTTCCTGACCTGGATCGGTCTCGGGTTTCGCCTAGAAACAAAACGAGTGACCAATCGGGGTAAGGGAGAGGGTGAACGGGACCAATCAAGAGGATGAGATTGGGGGAAAATCTTATAAAACCATGGGTCTCAAGGACAAAGAGTGGATTGACAGCCGAGTCTCAGCCGTGCACCGGACCCAAAAATCCAGGACGCCACCACATTCGAGCTCTGTCGCATCCTTGGAGGAAAGGAGACAAGACATCGTACGCCAGGTTGACCGGACATTGTACGCAAGATGTAGAAGATACCGCCCACAAGATTTTCCGGACACCGCCCGCAGACCTTTAGTCTCTACCTCGTTCAAGCCCCGGGCATATCCGAAGTGGCATATCAGCTGGCCAACGTAGTAATTCTTGTTCTTCCCATTGTGTAAGTTAATCTAATGTCAAAATAAATGGTTTTCGTGTACGACACTTGTCATCTCTGTCTCCTACCGCCGCCACCCACATACGGTTTGACCCTAGGTTTTCCTGACGCACAATTAACGTATTGCCCCCAAAATCGGTGACCTTACATTTGCGTAACAGAAGGTCTATTTAACCTTTCTCACTTATTTATATCTTGACTTTTCTCTCCATTCCCCGAATTTGGGTCTATAATCCTCTGACTCCCAACTCTAGCTTTATTTAATATTCCTTTTAGCGTTGCAAGATTTGTCTACTTTGCGCCAAATTTAGGTACCCTTTTTTAGTTTGGTGTAAAAAAATATCATTTGGCGCATTGGCTACATTTTGGGCTACATATTATTTATAAATATATTAGTTGAATAAAAATGTACTTTAAAATGGTGTTTCGTTGTTTTATTAATTAAAGACCCAAATAAAACAAATATTTGTGTTTTTCAAATAAATTTTTGTTTGACTTCTTTATAATAAATAAAATTTCTAAGTAGAAATTAAAAGTGTCTGTAGAAGTAATTTTTTAAAATATCCTTTTTCGTGATAAAGTTTTAATACTTATTACTATAATCTAGACATGTAAATTCTTAAATATATTTGTATATTTAAAAATTGGGTCACAATATATTTGTGGCCCAGAACTCCATGACTTCTTCCAATGTGGCCCAGAGAAACCAAACGGTTGGACACCCCTGCTCTACTGTATTAGTTTCTCTGACAGAGATGCTAAACAACGTAACGAGTCATTTTTGTTAAAGATAACAAAACCGGAAAAGGATGCAATATAAAAATGCAATAACAGAAATCGTTTGGGTTAAACGGACCACACGTAAACATGCCTGTAGATAGATAAAGTAGCGCAAACTAGCATCATTTGAACGTCTTTTGATGGAAAATACTACAAAGTAAAAAGTTTCTCATTGTTTTTTTGTAAAATTAATTAAGGTGAAGTGCCTTCTATGTGGCTTACAGAATTGTGTTCGTTCTCAAAATCTGTTTGATTGATTTGCCATTTTCCATTAATTGCAATGAGGAATCCAAAAATGTAATAAAAATGGGGGGGTCCTTGACTTCATTTTTGAGATATAAGGTCATAGCACAAGTGCGCGCGACAAATCGCTATCGCAGGAAATCGCGTGATATTCCATGGTTGGTAGAATGTCTTCTATGGGCTTATAGAATTGAGTTCGTTCTCAAAATTGAATGGGCCGATTTTGATAAAACTTTGCCATTTTATGTTAATTGCGTTGAGTAATCCAAAAATGTAATGAGGGTACTGTTCATTTAAATGTAAAAAATAGGGGTCCATGACTTCGTTTACGATATACAGAGGCATTAAAGTGACAATGTTTGTGCTCCCTGGTATTCCGTTAGCCTGTGCGCGGCTAACGGAATTTAGGCCTATGGGTCCAAAATCATAACATCATTGCATGCACCTAACCGAAAATAGGCACCGAAACGAACAAAATCACCTTTCTGTCTGCAAGTGGTAATATATATACACCTGAAGATGTCTGTTATATATAGATGAAAACATTAGTAAAAATTAGTAATTTGAGGTATGCTCATGTAGGTGTTTTGGAAAGTTATTGAAATTATATAACCTTGACCCTGAAAATCATTAATATGAATTTTTCATAAAGTGAACTAACTGTTGGTCACCTAGCAATTCATATTAATGAGAGTTGACTGTGTTTCTTAAAAAATTGCAACCTTTTTCATTTGAGTAGGAATTAAGCATGGCTTTTTTTATTGCTATTCTGCCATATAGGTTTTTCATGTAATTGATTTATGATTGTGTTTTAATTGTAGACCTTTTTCATGGCCAAACACATCAGATTTAATTTCTCTTGCAAATTTTTTAGGATCTTTAGTTGCTGCTTTTACAATCAATTTGTCTTTATGAGTAGATTTCATCTTTCATTGTTTTATTCTTTGATCTTCAACAGATTCATTTTCTTTGTATTTAATTTTTTAAACGCCACCTTCAGCAGATAAATTATGCTGTTTAGCAAATGCACAAAATGATCACAGTTGTTCATAACTATTCACAACTTCCATTTTCAGAACAGAAGATAATTCATTCCATAGAACTGTTGTTACTTTGTAAAATGTCATTAGATTGTGTAAACTGTATAATAATTTGTATATGTCAATTTATGCACGTTTTTTTTGTTTTTTAGAATGTCAACAAAATATTTTTGGCTTGCAATGTTTTTCAATTTTAAAAATTCAAAAAAATTTATATAAAATGGTAAATAAATACATAAGTATATACTATGCATGTATCTATAGCCTAAAGTCACAAGAAAAATATATTTTCAGTTTAACATTAACCAATAGAAAGCATATATAATATCATATTCTGAATACTAAATATATGATATCAAATTATTTTAAAAAACCAAAACAAATTTACCTGGGAATTCCTACATTTGTCAAGTTGTTAGATTTGAGAAGTACAAGCTTATGCTTCTTTATCAATAGAAATGAAAAGTAAGATAAAATTTTTTTTGTATAGCATTTCTTTAGACTATTTAGCAGTATTTACTTCTTTTAATCCTAGATGTAAGAACTTATACAATAATACATGATGATACTTATTTTTTTGTCCTTCCTAGGCTACCATATCTGCGTGATCTGACAACTATTTCATTCCAATATCTATTTTTCTATTGTTGCCAGTATCTGTTGACATATTTAACAAATCAGTAATTTTGTCACAGTTCTTTCTCAAAAGAACAAATTCTTTACTACAGTTGCATTGTAAATGTAAATGTATATTTGTATAGAATCACTATGAAACAAAACAGTTTTATCTGATCCAAAATCCAAATACAGTTGAATGCTGAGTCCATTAGGCCTTCTAATAAATAGGATTTTCTATCAATAGGTAATGTGTGTTTGTAGGAATTAAATAGGCTTAGACCTATTATTTAGAACTGCTTATAATTGAAAGTAGAATAGAATAATTCTGTTTTTACAAATAATCATTTCTGCAACTTGTTTCAACTCGATTGAAATTCATTCACAATGGCATTAGCACACATTTCACATTAGTCACAAGCTTTATCCATTTCATAAGTGCTAAGCCAGCAAAAAGTGAATGTAAACAAAACTGTAATTTTGCTATTATCAGCTATTTATCAGTCTAAATTTAATAATAATTGTAGTGTGAAAACTCTTACATACCTGTATAAATGATTGCTTCAGGAAGCCTAAAATCAAATTGTCTATTTAAATTGCCTAAAGTCAAATTTCAGTTTTCTTGACAACAGAAAGAACATCTAAAGTTTTATTTTATTTAGCATGCTTTAGATTTGCTGCTCATAATAAAGTCTAGCTAGCCTACCATCATTGCCTGCCAAAAAAATAAATTAAAAAATTCTATTTAATAAAAAAATAAAAAAATCAGTTAACTACTTATGCATATGATATTTTCTAAAACAGGTAACTTTTATCAATAACAATACTCACAAAAATATTTTCTGTAGTTTATTTTGATATTATATATAGCTATATAGCCTAATATATATATATATTTTTTTTTAATTTTAGGAATTCAATTCGCAATGGCATGTGGCCAACATCTCTGTCAAATCTCACTATTGCCTGTACAGTTTTATTATTTCTTATGTTAACAGAACCAGGTTTCACATATTCTATAAATTCTTGGCTTTGGAAATTAAGTTATATTTTGCACATTCCACAAAGTAAGTATACTTTGTATAAATGTAAATAATGAATTTTATTTTATTTTACAAAATTAATGAGCACCATTTCATTAGTAACTATTTGTTTTAATAATGATGAATTTTATTCATTAATTTTATACAGAATAATAATAATATCAATATTTTTAAATGAATGTTTTTTATTTTACAAATAAATTCTGTAAGACCCACAAATAACTAGAAATATCAGAATTGCAAGTCATCTGACATTCTTATTGCTATCCAAAAACCATTTTTGATCCATTAGATAATTAAAAAACATATAAACAATTTCACAATAAATAATAATATCTTGTAAAAATTTGAACCATTCTAATCTATATTTGCGTCATGCCTACGATAGTGCTATCATCTGGACAGTCCAGGAATCAGCTTGCTGTCCGGGTGAACTAGTAATTTCATCTGAGGATATCCTGTGCAACCTGTTGACCTGTTTTATTTATTTATTTATTTATNATGACAAGCTCCACGACGAAAACAAGCTTAAGCAATGGTGTCGTCAAACAGTGCACACTCGGTAAGTAATCCTACAATTTTTTGTTTATAGCATAGTTTATATAGATTATTCCCAAAAAATTATACGTATTTTTGAAATGTTGAGTCAAATTAGTCTAGAATCGATTAATTTTATGGAAGAAACCTTTCAAACAGCCGTAGTCTGTAAACTGCATACGTGCTGGGCTGTGATTTGCTGGACTCATAGAAAATGAATTCATAAAAACTGGAACATATCTACTGTGTTATGGGGGGTCGACTGTATATAAAAATTAAAACATTGTTCTTATTTATTTTGTAAGACATGTAGAGGAATAAAACTTGTATTATATTGTAAGTAAATAAACTAATATAACAGCAGTTACCAATTACCTTCTGTTTCTTATTACCTTCTTTTCAATATATTGGCAAGTATGATAAGATTTTTTGAATTTCAAAAGTTTTTCCAGACAAAATAGTAGTATTGGGTCTACCGGAAAGTTCTGTCCATTTCAGTTACAACAAGTTTCAGCAACAATGCACATATTCATTTGATGCACTTGATATTTATTTGTCTCTCTCTTTTTACCACTGAATGTATACATACTGACCTAGGAAATGAACTAAAACGAAGATGATTCATGTTAGTATTAAGTGAGATGCGATCATATACACATTAGTGTTGTAACGAATAGTATATTCGGCCTCAGGCCGAATACCGAATATTCGGCCAGGAGCGTGGCCGAATAGCCGAATATTTGGCCAAACTATTCGGCTCGATTATCGGACGTATGGAAATTGGCGCGCAAACCGCATTATGGCAAGGACCCCGCTCTCTATTGGCCTGCTGTCACTACGCTTTGCCAATCGCATTAATTCTTGACAGTTGAAGTGGACAGACATGAGCGTTATGGCAGTATGTGATAAGTGATATCAAATGTGGATAACAATGAAATGTCCTACATGTGTAAATAACGGAGAAAGAACAGAGAAGGACCGCAAAGTGAAAATGTGAAAATAAATATGAAATTGAGTCGATAACATAATCGAACGAGTCGAAGTAGCTTATTGGCGCGAAATTTGTGGCCGTCAATGCCAAACAATTGTTGTCATAGATTTCGGAAAGCTAAATGCTTGTAATGAAAGTCACTTAGCGTGCACGGGCGAAAGCCTGGGGCCGTTCGGGTTATCAAGCTGTCTCGAATCTGTGAAATCATAACTGTGACTTATATCGACGTCCTATCTGTCTCTTTTCTCCGTTATCACCAGGCTGAGTCACATTATTGTAAAATGGGAACTCTACGACGGAAAAGTGACGAATCGAAATATCGTGAGCGCGTATTGTGATGTATGCACAGGCATACATGGATTAGAGCGATAGAGGAAAGAGAAAGGGAAGAGCAAAGACGAGCGCTTAAAAAGAAGGATAGGCAGGGTCAGACCCTCAGATGTGCGAGGATTCTCCAACGATAGACGTGTACGTATGCTGATCTTTGTAATTATAATTGTGAATACATGTGACTAATATTATTTTCTTTTTTATTTTGTGCATGTTACAAGTTATAAATAAATATAAACAAACAACACTAACTCTATAACATTAACTCTAAATACCAAAATGATTAATTTACTGTGTTTTTGTTGTTTATAATTCCTGTTTTTAGGTATTCGGTATTCGGCCGAATAGTGATTAAATATTCGGTATTCGGCCGAATAGTGATTAAATATTCGGTATTCGGCCGAATAGTGAAAAATAGGCCGAATAGGCCGAATACCGAATAGTAACCGAATATTCGTTACATCACTAATACACATGGTTACTGATAAAGTTCATTTACGCCACTGTATTTTGTATGAATTCCAACAAGGAAGAAATGCTGCAGAAGCATGTAGAAATTTATTGAAAGTGTTTGGTGAAGGTACAGTTTCTGACAGAACATGCAGAAGATAATTTGAAAAATTTCAAATAGATGATTTCGACCTTTCTGATAAGCCACGCTCTGGGAGACCATCTTTGATCGATGATGATGCTGTCAAGATCATGTTAGAGCAAAATCCTTTTTGACAACATCGGAGATTGCGGGAAAGCTTGACTCAGCTCAACAAACCATTTCAAATCATATTCGGAAACTAGGATTGGTGTGGAAATATTTGAGATGGGTGCCACATGAGTTAAGTGAGAAGAATCTGAATGATTGAGTCATCATGTGCACATCTCTGCTTGCACGTAACAAAATCGAACCCTTCTTGGACTGGATGATAACTGGGGATGAAAACCTATGAAAACATCGTGAAGAAAAGGGCATATTGTGAATTCGGAAAACAAGCCCCTCCACCTCTAAACCAAAGTTGAGCCTGAATAAGAGAATGTTGTGTATATGGTGGGACATTCGAGGACTAATACATTTTGAGCTGTTAAAACTGAACAAAAAGCTAAATTCAGAGAGGTACTGTCAGCAATTGGATAATTTAAAAACAGCACTCCAAGAAAACAGGCCAGCGATGTTCAATAGGAAGGACATCATACTGTTTCATGATAATGCCAGGCCACATACTGCTTTGGGGACTCGTCAGAAACTCGCAGAGCTAGGCTGGGAAATTCTGTCACATCCACCATACTCCCCGGACCTAGCACCTTCCAATTATCACTTGTTTCTGTCCTTACAAATTTTTTTGCAGGGTTTTTGCCCTGCAAAAAATTTTGTGTAAAAATTCAAAAACTAAGAAAATATCAGACAAGCATTGGTTCAATTTTTCACCGCTAGGAATAAGGCATTTTTTAAAAATGGGATATACAAATTGCCATCATGCTGGCAAGAAGTCATAAATAATGATGGAAATTATATTATTCAATAAAGTTTGGAAAATTTATTATTTTGTTTTATTCTAAAAACGGACAGAACTTTCCAGTAGACCTAATAGTTATTTACAAATAACAGTACATTTTAATACACAAAGTTTGATANTAATTAAGATAAATATCTTTATTAAAATTTTCTTAAGTGATACATAATAATATAAATTAAACAATGTTTTCTTCGTCATCACTAAAAGCACTGTTAACAGAGAGCATTTTATTTTTGGAAAGTTATCCTTATCTTCTAAGTATTTTTCTGCATTATCTTCAGATCCATGCTTTACCTTTTGCAAAAAGTATGTAAATTTGCTTGCTTCTAGTTAAAAGATCTTTATAAATTTCCTTATATGGTGCTATGCACTTATGAAAAATAAAGCAAGTATGGAATAAGGGAAAAACATCTGGCAACAACAGAAGCAGAAGCGTCGCGATCTGGCAACATTGAAACAAGTTTCGAGAAGGACCACATGTATCGACAGAAGGAAAATAAAATTTACATACTTAAGTATTAATAGTTCACGAAAATAATAATTTTCGTGAACTATTATTACTTAAGTATGTAAAAATTTATTACATTTCATGTTGTATGAGGTTTTCACCCAATTCTCGAACCGTGTCAGAGTGAATTCGTGCTATAACAGTACCATGTTATACGGGGATTGTACCAATTCTCGAACCATGTTAGAGTGAATCCGTGCTATAGAAGTGCCATGTTATACGGGGGTTACCTGTATAATCTTCCTTTTTGTTCTATGGTTATAAATATTTAATGATTTTTCTTTGTACAGAGATATTTTTGAGCTATTTGAAATTATATGTTAAGACAATGAAATACTATAATTTTCAAATGTAATAAAGTGAATGAATTAATCTTGAAGAATTATAAAAATTTATTAGCATCATCCTTAATCATCATTTTCTCTCATCTCCAGTGAGTTTGGTTTTGATGTTGAGAGTGAGGAGCAGTCAGTCTATCTCATTATAACTAATCGCTAAAAATTTATTTTTAATAAATATGCACTTATATATTTGTTTTATAAATAGATACTACAGTATAATTTTCAAATTTTAAGGTTTATAATCATAGACTGTCATAAATTCACATCATTTTATTTTCAAAGCTTAACATTCAGTTAAACAAATTAGAAAATTTAAACATTTAAAAATTGAAACATCTTTGGCTGGATGGCCAGGGCAGTTAAGGCATCAACCTATTACTATAGGAGTCCTGGGATTGATTTTGGGTGAACAATCTTAGGAATATTTTTTGTGGTAAGTCCCAGATATGTCAGGCCCTACCTTTCTATCCAATTACCTCTGTTGTGGGTCTGGCCATACCAACAATGAAAAAGGCCCTCTTAGTGTTCATAGGGTGAAAAGAGCCGAAAATTAAAAAGTATTGAAACATCAAAATACATTATCAATTTCATATTCTATTTGTACTTTTCGTAGTTTAATCAAATAAGGGAACAAGCACATTGCTATAAATCATGAAATTAAAAGTCACTTGTACAGTCAAGCTCACATATAGCATGATCAGTTAACTCTAAGAACACTTTCTTTTCAATGTTATCCATGTATAATGATGTAAAGAAATGTTTTCGTCATTAAACAATGGATAACATTGAAAAGACAGTGTTCTCAGTGT